CTCCAGCACGGTTACCACGTCCTCCACCATAGCCTCCCATATGGTCGCCCCCCTTTTGATATCCATCGCCACCACGATGATTAGAGAACCCTCCACGATTACCGTTCTTGTTAGCATATTCAGGCCTGTTGTTGAAATCATTACGGCCATAGTTTCTACCATTTCCATAGTTTCCACCATTTCCATAGTTACCACCATTTCCATAGTTACCACGCCCTCTTACCCCATCATTTCTATATCCAGTTCCTCTTCCAGGTATGAACCGTCCCCTATTATTCACTGCAGGTAACAAAGAGGAAATGTTCAGTATCAGGAATCAAGTCCCAAAAGTTTGTGGACATTATTAGTATTGGTCACTCCTTTAATGAAACTAACTCAACTGACTTCCAAAGTTGACAGAATACAAAGGTTTATATGCTCTCTTTGATCAAGTTACTGTAATAAAATAAGGTAAAACGAGCAAGTTCCAACCAAAAATCCAACATACCTCGACTAGTAGACTTCTTCTCCTCAACCACCACTTGACGCCCACCAATCATGATAGGCGAAGCCTGAAAAATCAGATGTCATAATTAAGATAATTTTCTAAGACCAAAGCCGAGAAGTCTGAGATCTATAGCTTACAATATGATCTAAAGCAGCTAAAAGTTAAAATTATAGAGCAACTATAGTCCACCAGCATCAACAGTACGAGAGTCGGGTGCATGTGAGTATATCAATAGCAGCTAGAAGTTAATACTAGAGGGCAAGTATAGTCCATTAGCACCACCCAGGCAGTAAAAGAGTCATAACGAGGTAGCACACAACTAAAAAGTGATCTACCAACCTACACAGATAGGTTCAATTATTGATATTTATGCATTTATGGAGTTCAAGCAGAGAGCTAATGTTGTGTCTCATCCAGATGCTTAACCATCAACAATATCATCAACCAGACGTCACTTATTACTAATAAAATATTCAATACAACACCTAAAATCATACCTCAAGTGCACTTTGCACGGCACTTGCTACTTCAAATTCCACAAAGCCGAAGCAGAAACCCTAATACATTGAAGAATAGTTATTTGATAGAAGGGGCATGAACAAATAGTAAAATTAAGGACTTGATGGATAAAAAGATCTACCTTTTGGCTTCGAACCTGAATACCTCCGTTCTTAATGGGTCCAAACTTCTTGAACTCAGTTGCAAGAAGGCCAGGCGTAGCATTCATGGGCAGACTTTTCACATAGATAGAATGACCATCCCCTATATACATATAATATAAAAAGCAGTGAAAAGGGGGGAAAAAGGGACCCAATTCAAAATTCAATTAAAAAACATCCTGGATGATATGGGGTCTTGTAGCAGCAAAACACCAAACTGAAGACTCACCTTCAGCCTCCTGCATGTTTCCATTTTCACTAACGTCTGTTGTAGAGATCTGAGTTTCAGCAACTGGGGCTGGAGGAGGTACATCAGACACTTGCTCATGGCTCCTCGGAGCAGATTTCGGAGGAGCTGGAGAAGTTGAGAGAGCAGGTACACTTTCCTTCATAACCTTCAACTATAACAACAAAATAACATGATTCTTTAATAAAAGATAACATCCAAATCAAGCAAACTTGATATGAAAATAATAATGTGCATAATTACTTACAATAGAGGCATATGATTTTTTTGGGGTATCTTCAATTTTAGCATTCGATTCAGCCACCACCTGATGCCCGTCATCTGGAACTGGAACTTCACGAACAATCTCTGGAACTGGAATTTCACGAACAATCTCTGAAACTGGAACTTCACGAACAATCTCTGGAACTGGAACTTCACGAACAATCTCTTGTACTTGTTCTACTTCATCTTCTTGAGCTGGAACTTTACCATCATCGTCAGAATTGTTTATCACCTCACCATTATCTTCTGTTAATTCAGCAGCTGCTTCCTCAGGCACGTGACTTGCCAGTGCAGGAGAAGCAGCTGCACAAAACTACACTTGTTACCACATGATACTAAGTTAATAATAATAATAACAACACGGACAACACAAAAACAATGAACTCTACAACATAAGGAAAAGCCACTACCATCAACAGGATTAACGGGATCAACTACAGTATTGACAACAGCCTGATTTACATTCTGATGGATAGTATTAGTATCTTCAACATATCTGAAGACATCATTCAAAACAAAGTAACCCTTCTCCTGTGGTGCAAGGAAGAAACTCTGTGTAAATTTCCTGCCCAAGTTATCCTTTCCAGTCAAATATCCAGTCACAAGCACAAGAACTCCCCCGTTCAAAGATTCTTGTGCATCAACAGTAACAATCTCAGCCCTGAATTCACCACAATTAAGAGATAGTATCTTCTCATTGATAGCCTGCTCAATTAAAATTGCAAGATTAGAGAAAGCCACAGCGATGGTAATATCAAAAAGATTCCACTAGTATTTTATCCAACATCTTAGTGTCCTACAACTGCAGAACATATGATAAAAATTTCTTTTATTATTTGGCCCTTTTAGCAGTCGTCAAACTCTCCAGCCATCAAAGTTATCCAATTCATAACTACTCTTCAGACGCTCAATAGCAGTAACAGTGCGACAATCCCACTAACACGTTCTGTATTACTGATAAAAGTGAGAGAGGCCAACTAGTTTTGCATAAAAATTAAATCAAAATCACTCAGCAGATAAAACCTAGCCACTAATACAACCTGGACCAGACATTTAATGTGGATTTCGTTCCAACGTTTAGAAACATTAAAATCAAGGAATATTTCACCCGATGGTATCTGAGAATCAAAAGAATTCCTCGAAAGACTACGCATCTTCCGAAGTCTATACAGAAGAAAAAAAATGTTTCCATAAAGAGAAAACTAAAAGGGTTGAAGCTTATGGACGACAAAGAGAGGCTTACTTCCGTCGTAGTAGTCATGCTCATTACTCCATCCGCTCCAGGACGCCCAAGCTTACTGTCGCCCAGATAAAACCGATGGACATGTTGCGGCGACTGATGTAAAATATGGTAGTACTGATGGGCAAAAGCATTCCCAACCTATAATCCGAGCACGAGAAAAATTTCAACACAGTACAAGTAAACACATATAGAGTATCAAAAAAGGCTAATATCGAAACCGGAATCATACAACATCAGCAGTTGGAGGCAAGGTTTCTACGGAGGCCGGCTGCACCGAAGACGCCATTGCCGATCACCGATCGATCTGAAACCCGAAAAACAAAGAAACAAAGAAACAGATCAAGATCGTATAAAAACGAAGGGAATCTGACGGTACAGGGATGGGAGAATTACAGAAACGGAGAAGAAGGGGGTGGAGAGCGGACCTGGGAGTGGAAGAAGAGAGAGGGATCGGGCAAGAGAAGTGAGACTGTGGAGAATCGGTAATCGCGAAGCGGCTTCTCGTCTTCTCCCACCTCTCCCAGGGGATGTGTTCTAGGGTTTGCTTAGGGTTTGCGGTACTGAATCTTCCAGAAGCGCCACCAAAACACCAAAGCCGCAAAAGGCAACCTAATAGAGGGCATTAATTTCACGAATCATTCCTAAACACGAAGCATTAATTTCTTTTCTTCCAAATTTAAAAATCAATTATCTTTTCTTTATTAAAAACAAATATATATGTGTGTGTGCAAAAAGCCGTTAATTTACAAGTTTGGTTTTTTTTTCCGAAATTATAAGTTTAGTTTCAAGAGGGTAAGTTGTTTCAAATGAATTTAGTTGTTTGTTATCCCATAAAATAGAATAACTTAAAATGAAGTCAAAACAAATATAACTCAACTATAATTGACATATATCTTAAATAAAGAAATTATGAAGATAAGTGAATAACGATAATTTCAAAATAACGAGAATCGAACCCAAATCATTAGCTTAGAAGATTTCATAGAATTTCAAAGTAAATTATTTATTTAACCTTCTCATATTTTAATTTCTAATTAATAAATCTATATTATATTTATGAATAAAAGGCACGATAAGAGAAATTTTTATTATGTCAAATTTACCTTTTTATTATAAATATTTTTATTGTTATCTTGGAGCCAATTTTCTTCCTACTCTCCACTCCCTTTGAATATATCCCGTCAAATTCCACTATTTTCTATCTTTCATTTCATCTCAAATTAATCTTCAATTCTTCACTTTCTCCCACCCCACCCATCCACATTCCCCTTATAGTTAATTTTTTTAGGATTATCAAAAGAAGTTGTTAATTATTGATTAACAATGAAGGGTTAATAATGGTTATTCTTTAATAATCTCAAAAGTTCGAATATTTATGGTATTCTCTATCTCCTTTCCAACAAATATTTAGAATCAAATCTCAGGTTTCAAAACATTTCTTGAATTTTCTTCGTATGGGTTAAGTTTACATTCTTGAACTTTAAGAGGTATTTTAATATCTAATAGGTGATTGATGTTAGAATTTTTAATAATATTGGATAAGATACCCTATAAGATATAAGCGTTTTCAGCATCCTGGACCTTTTATTTAGCACCTAATATGCTCCTCTCTCAACTATTTTTCGAGTTCCATATAGAGTTGATGCCAATTTATTTTCATTTATTCTAGGATTATTCACAAGTTTTTTTTTTTTGGTTAAACTTGTCTTTAATTTTTTTGTGTATTTCATAATTAGGATTAAAAAAAAGTTTAGTTTTTTATTAAAAAAATATACAAAATTAAGGTAGTTTTAAAAATACTTCTTAAAGAAAGTAGATTAAATCATGTACATTGATCATGATTTGATATAAATCTCATACGAAGAAGCATTTTCAACATAAATGGAATGCCAGACATCTCAGTTATGGGCACATGCAATTTACACATGTGGCTCCAGCTAGCTTAGTTGGAGCCACGTGATTGTCAATGCACACGATTTTTACATGGCTATTTTTCATTGGTCAGACATATGCAAACTTTTACGTTTATAGTAGTAATAATAAGACAATTATTACATGTATACGATGTTTGGCGTAATAGCGTAACGTGATATATACTTCAGGCAAAGTACATCATGACACAAGGGTCAATCTTTGAAGACGGAGATCTCCCGTTTAACCTGTGAACTATCAAACTTCATGAGGATGGAAAACCAGGGAAGAAAAGTTATTTGCTAGTCACCTACTAGCAATAACACACAACGAAAAGATTTACAAAAAGACAACCAACAAAAATTGTGAAACTACTGCACTGAAATAAAAGATCCTAAAAAATCATAATATAAAGACAAATATATGCTACTCCATTTAAGGTTGCCAATTTGCATGGGTTTTTGGGTTGACTAAATCATTTTCTTAGGCCCATCTTGACATATATCTCCATCTCCAAAACCTATATTTCCCGATCATTTGCTGATATCATCAAACAAACTAAATGACCATCATAATTTGACCAACAAACGGAATGATGTCGGGGTGGCAAGGGCATACTGATAGTCCTGAAATGTACACTACAGTAGCAGAGCCTGCAGCGGGATCGTGGTGACAGGCGACAAGGACAATACCACACATTGAGAATGTTCCCTAACGACTCGTCAAAGCCCGTATGCTGATGAGGCCCACCACATCACACACTAGGCGCCGTCCATGGTCAACTCCATCACCTAAAAAGGGATAGAATCCCACCTCACAAGGATAAGTGAGAAATATGTTACTAAACATATACAAGTGCTCTCCGTTTCCTTCGTTCGTTCGTTCATTCAATTTACTAATTTGATCGTTGGAGGTCATTTGGTAGGACACTGTACTGATGTCGAGATATGTTATTGCAGATTAACTCGTCCGACGACCGTATCGAATGACATGTAAGCCAACCGAATTCTCAACAAAAACTTTTTTTTTATAACAAAATATTTATTTATATAATTTGACATTTTTTATATTAATTGGTTTTAGTTCATTGAGCTTATTATATTGATAATAATTAAACCATACTTGTAGTATTAATTTTATGAAACTAAATTTCTCTTACCTCCATTAATTAACGGGTTTTTTTTTTAACAAAACTATCAAATTTCATTACTACATTGTAACCATCAAGAATATCTTTTTATATACAAAACATGATATAATTTGACATTTTTAAAATTATTTGGTTTTAATTATTATCAAATTTCATGGCAATTCGTGTTGGGAATGAGTAAGGAAAAATATGTTTTACAAAGCAAATTAGTTTTTTTGGAGGCTATGTTTATTATGTTTTAATAACCATTATTTTATAATTAAACAATTGGTTTTCATAACTGTTGTAACGGTTATAAATTAATTGAGTCTATTAATTACGTTTAATTTATAAAAGTTTGCTTCTCAACCATTTCTGCTCGTTTTGATGGAGAGATATAGAATTACAAAATTATTTCCACATGTTTTCTAATATTTTTTTCGGTTCTTTACAAAAATTTTGAGCTTTTTCGATTTCGATTTCAATTTGCTCTGACGAGTGCACGTCCAAGTTGGGTGTTGTGTTAACCTTGGGGAGCAACCAGCTAGCTATATTCGACCGTGGTCATGTCGAAATTGATTTCAAAGCAGTGGTTCATCCCACAGCACCATAATCATTTATCCTTTGTTTCTCATAATAAACTTCAGCACCATAATCATTTATCCTTTGTTTCTCATAACAAACTTTCTTCCAATGCTTTTGATCGGGTACATGCCGACATTTGGGGTCCCTTTTCAACCCCTAGTTATGCCTGCCATTTGTATTTCCTCACTATTGTTGAGGATTATACATGATATATCCGAGTCTTTATGCTTAAATATAAGTCCGATGTGTTAAAAATTCATTTCGTTCTAACAATGTGTTAAAAATTCATTGCATTCTCATTGCTGTATTTCTAACTTCGTCTCCAATTTTGAACCGACACACTCCTTTTACTGTGCTTAATGGTTTTTTGGCTGATTATAAAATTCTTCCTATTTTTGGTTGTTTGTGTTTTACTTCCGCACTCACTTCCAAACATTCAAAGTTTCATTAGATAATGGAGCCAAAACAGATGACCCGTGTCCTACAAGGAAAATTCTTTTTCAACACTACTACCAATTCCTACAAGGAGTAGGATATTATTGTTTTATAAGGATTACAATATTGTTTTCCTATAAGGATTCAGATATTTGACCTCTCTTTTGTTAAGGTTTCATTTGTACAGAATCCAAATAAGAGAGACTTGAGTGGTCGTGGGCTGTGTGTGAAAAAAGGAATTTGTACCTCGTGGGTTTAGTGAGGGTATTTTCAATTGTGTAATCCTAGGTAGACATTGTTAGGATACTTAGAAGTAAGATAGTAATATCTTGAGTGAGATCTCCATTGTAATATTCCCAACTTCTGCTTTTTCGTAGAAGACTGGACGTAGTCCCAAGATATGGGCGAACCAGTATAATCCCTGTGGTGTTAAACTTTTCTATCCCCATCTCTTATTCCTTTGTTATTGTTACTTACTTATCTGCTTTAAGTCTGTGGAAGGGGAAATCAAATAGTTCGTGTTTGAAGAACTTACAGGAGGATCGATTTATCTATTTTTTTTCCCAACAATTCATGCTATTTTCATTGGTTATCGTCTTAGTATGAAAACATATAAACGATATGATATTGAAAATGGCCGCATTTTTGTCTCTCAAGATGTTACTTTTCGTGAGGATATTTTTCCATTTCACAAAATTACTGAAAGTATTGATATTATTAATATTTTTCCTCGACTTGTGCTTACCCAAATTTATTGGTATTGACAATGGCCTCATATATTTGATTGTTTTAGTGAGTTGCAACCTAACACCCTAGTTACACGAGGGTTCTTCTTCTTTACTTGATGGTCCTTCACCCTTATCCGAAGAGCGTGATTAACGAGTCTTGATTTCAAGGCTAAAATGATGTAAATAGCGTGTTTATTGTTAGAGCAAAAAGAGGAATAATAAGTTGTTGTGTCGTGGAACCCACTGCTTGAAACCAAAATTCGGCACGACCACAGTGCTAAATCCTTTATCGTTGATTACTTTCCAAAGTTAACACGATACCCGAATTCAAGCGTGCACTCACCAGAAAATGGATTGGAATCAGCTCAGAACAAAAGTTGGAAAAATATAGAATAATTAAGAAAAATGAGAGAAAGGAGGAGAATAATTTTTGTGTTTCAAATGAGAGTGGGGAAGAGTTTATATAGGATTTGAGAGTCAAACGTCTTTTCCTAAGAATTAATTATAAAACGGTTTACAATAAAATTATTACAAAACATAAATGGTAAACAGTCAAAACATAAATGGTAAAGGTCAAAAACAATAATGCAGAAACGTTTTACAATATTTTGCAATAAATGTAAATGCTCAAAATGTTTATGCATCGGCCAATTACAACCCACACCAAATTCAAATAAGGTATGACAATACCAAGTCACACCAAATTCAAATAGGATCTGTTTTGGGCTCAACATTAACCCACACCAAGGGCCGTAACAAGCAAAACAAAATGGGCCTAATAAACTTGGTAACAAAACTAGTTTTTATTTAGGGATTAATACATT